TTCTGTGCAGGAACTCTTGAGAGCTTTTATAAGTATCTGGCTGTACTTTTGAGTATCAGTGGTAGCACAGTCTCTTCTGCAGACAAAGGTAATACACAGTAGAAACTGTATGATTAACAGCCTGCAATTCCTCTTCCTCAGAGTCTGTGAGACAGATGTTTCAATCATACACAAAGTTCACATACTTGGGATGAAAAAGCCATGACTGGAATTGATATAACAGAAGCAAGTACAATTTGGTTAGATTGTTAGCACAGATAATAAAGAAAATACATTCAAGGATACCAGAGTCACTAAATCATAACGTGACTCCCAGTCCTTGGACAGCAACCACAAGCATTGCAACAATTAAGGGAACACACATATTGTCCCATTCTCTACACCATTGTGCTAATGCCATATGAATGGCAGGAGTAGCATCACACAATGGTTTGGCTTGGAAAGGACCTCAAAGATTATCAGGTTCCAACCCCTTGTTGCTAGAGTAAACAGTAAAGAGCCAAGATCACAGACTGGTATGGCAAACCAGGGAGAGAATACCTGGTGGGTCCTTGTAGGTTTTAAATTTTACTTCACAATAACAGAATTAAAAAATAACTGCTTCTTTTTCCAGAATTCACGAAGAGAAACCCAGACCCACACCTTAGGTATGTGGCTCAGCTTACCATGTGAAAACTATACTAGAACATTTCTGTGTGTAAACACCTCCGACTTCTGTGTTTATTTAAGGAATATCTTACAAAATAGCATATCTCAAAAATGTACCTGACATCCAAAACAGTGTAAAAATATTTCATGGACTCATAATGCAGCATTATTATTCCATAACTACCAAGATTCCACACAACTGAGGCTTATACTCTGTCATAAGAAAAAAGCATTAGTAGAAAAAATTCAGATGAAAATGCAATTGTGTTTAAATGAGACTGAAATGTAAAAATAAAAATAAACAAAAACAAAGAACTATACTTAAACAAAAAATTTGACATTTTTGGTAAAAAAAAACCAGTAAATTATTTTGATTTTGGTGAAGTGCCAATTTACTGAACAATTGCTCTGCTAAAAAGAAATAGAGCAGAGTTGGATTCATTCCTCTTTCTACGTGAGACCTGCATCTTATCACACAAACTGACAGAGGATCCAGCTCAGTAAGAGAACCTGGACTGACATGTGTAGGACAACTACATCATCAATAGGATTCATGGATAATAGGAACAATATTGATAGCAACATTCATTTACCTTACCCAGAACCCTTTCAGATAATAGCAAGGAGAAGAACTGCTGCTCTGCTCCTCTGAAACACCAGCTGTGGTCAGTCTTACCATCACTGTGTACCAGCAAGAGCATTCACTGCCCTTTAAGGGTCTTAATCCAACAATGGTTCCTGCAACATTGGTAAAGAGCTGACAATAAGCAATATTCCTAAAAAAGTTTTCCTACCTTCATGTTAGTTATGCAAAATAAATTACTCCCCTCAGCACTATCAAAACCATATGAACAGTAATGGTGAAGAGTAGAAATCACAGGAATTTTTGCAGGCTTGCACAGGATAGGCAGCTTCAAAACCTCTCACAGACATCCTGTGCTCAAATGAAGCTCAAAATTGCAGTTGCACCTCCTGCTTTTTCCTGTATTTTTTTCTTGGCTGAAATCCTCTCATATGCCTGCAAAGCAAAGGGGCCCAGTCTTTTTTATTCTCTTTATTGTTCTCATAAGGAAGTTCCTGCTGTTGGTTACAGAATAATTGAGTGCGCCTTGTCCACAGGCATTTCTCTCATAAATGCAGATTTTTACATGAAAACAGAATATTTCACTATCACCACTGGGTTTTTTTCTTAATTAAGAAGCTACTATGGCTTGAGCGATCTCCCTCTTTTTCCTCTTTCCACCTCATTGATTAATTGGGCACCCTTAATAGACTTACACATGGATTGCTTTGCAAAAGGTTCTTCAGAAGAAGAAACTTAGGGAGGCAGGAATATATTTCGGGGGGGTTAATTTGTTTTTAAACAGTGAATAACTTAATTCTAAACATAGTTTATTGGCAAATCTTTCCTACAAGAACAGACCATTTTATATAATAGAAATAATTCTAAAAAAGGCCAGACACAGTGACCAATATGTTTATCACTAACTTTGCTAGAAGAAACTATGCATAAATTGTTCTCTGCTGCTGCTGCACAATTCCTTGAGAAATACTTACATTTTTATGTACTTGCTTCAAATGAAATTCTGAAGTGCCTTTCAAAACAAACAGCAGAAAATATTTTTAAAGTCTCTCCAACTGTGAAATTAATTTGTAACACAAACAAATATAACATTTCATTCTATAAATACACAGACTGTAATTCAACAGAGGGCTGAAATGGATACCTCGGATCTTGGGCAGAAATCTGGTAAAAATAATTTAGTTTGTGGGGTTTCATCCCCACCCTTTTCTCCTGACACATTTATAGAAGATGACTTTAAGGTTCTCCAAATATTTAGAGCTGTGCTCCTGCACGAGTCCAGAGCTGATCTCTTATTGCAACATTGTGGCTATTTCATGCTAAATCAATTTACTGATTCCAGGTGACTACCAATTCAGCAGGAGGAACAACAAAAACAGGGCTAGGCAAGAGTCTTAATTTCCTACAATCAATAATGAAGTGTGCTAATTACCTCTTATCTGCTCTGTGAACTGCTGACACGCTCTGTCCAGTTTTAGCACAGAGAATCTCCACTTTAACACCTGCTTGTTTGGTTTTCTGGGAAGGGTTTGGAACTAAAACACTGAGGTATTTAGATAGAACACACAAGAAGGGACTAGTATTTCCACAAATCAGACTAAAATACAGCTGTTTGTATAAAATGTGCAAGATCCAAACTAAAAATAAAACAAACAAATCCCGTTTTAAAATCAGAAGTAGTAAGCCACTGGGCAAATTAACATTGACCAATTGGTTTTGTGCTATTTTAAGATTGACTAAAATGATTTATTAAGGTTACTTAAATAGCATCTCTTGTATTGTGAAGTTTTTCAATTCTGATAATAGAAAATAATTGAATTTATACAGCACATACCTGCTTCATTTATTCTTCAGTCATTTATTCTTCCTTCTACTAGGAATTAGGTTCAAGCACTTGAGCACAGCAATTACAGAAGTTATAAGACTAAATGAAACTATTGCCATTGTTTTGTAACCCAGTCCTAGAAAAATTCAAAATGAGTACAGAGAAAGTCCAGGCACGTTATCACCTAGATTTTATTTACTTACATATACCACATGAGATTTCTAATGTTAAGAGTTCATACTTTGTTGTAACAAAGTAGAAGCAAGAAGAATTTCTCAAAGTAATGGTTATTGTTCTGAAAGCACTACTGGGTTAATAATACTATTTATAACTTTTTAAAGTCCAAATAATGGTAAAACATAGAAAGTGATGCATTAAAACATTTTAGATTTTTACTAAAATTCTAAGTTGCAGGAGGAATAAATAAAAATGTAGATGTCAGAGTGCTAGGATTTCCAAGGCATGAAGAGCTGTACACAACACATACATTGCATATCTGCAGGTGTACAAATGTTTTCTGCTTGTTCAGAGCAGTTGATAAGTCATTGAATCTACAGACATGTGCTCTGGATTTCCTGGCAGCCTAGTTAGAAGCTTCTACTCATTATCACTCACAATCACCTTGGATCTTCAAACCTTAAAAATTAACAAATACTTCAAGAAGCAGCAGAAGATCCTGGGGCAAGTACCATAATTTCTCCCTGACAAACATATTCCTTCACTGACATCAGCTTGTGTCTCATAGTAGAAAACCAGCCAGATGCTGTAGACAGACAAACTGAATGATCCAGGTCAGCTGCACTTTGTATTAAATGACAGAATCATTAGAAAGTGAGCCCTGTGTGAGATGCTGCACACCTGGGGGTGCCAGAGCTCCAGAGGAGCAGAAGCTCCTGCCACCTACCCAATTACTGGATTGATAACTTGTTTCCCGACTCTTAGACCAATATAGGAAAAAGAACAGCTTTCTGCCACCACAGCTCCAAAGCATTCCTTCTCTGTCAAGGCTGAGCTAAATGAAAAGTACCTCCAAGAGAGCATACATGGCTTTTGCTTTATTAATTGAAAAAACTGTACAAATAATCTGAGGGAAAAATAAAAATTATTGGATGATAAGTATTAAACCACATACAATCAACTCTCAAATCTGTCTCCTCTGTAGCCAGGCAGTTAAAGTCAAAGGAAAGAAAACACTTCAATTAGCCAAAGGCAAGTACAAGCTCTACAGCAAGGAAATGAAAAAAATGATAAGCAACAATTCTGTTTATGAGAGATGCTTTGCCCAGAAATGCACTTTTCTCATTTGGAGAAAAGAGAGAACACCAAAAAAGTTTCTTAGTCAAAATCTGCTTAGTCCAGCATGACATTCTTTCCCATGAAATGTCTTACCAAGAAGTTACTTTGGCAAGGCAGGTGGTTTTCCAGGAAGTTCAGCAGGGAAGAGTGGCCAATTTCCTGGTGCTTTGCCTTGAATAGCAGCATGGTCCCCTGCCCTAAGCTAAAGGATGAAACATGAAGCACTAGCTAAGAGGCACACGGCCAACGGATGTGCGGTTTCTGTCACCAACACTAACAGATTAGCTAAATTTCAGCTGGCCCTATTTGCTTTCCAGATAAGGCAGAAAACCCCAAACCAAACAAAAACAGCCAACAACAACAACAACAAAAACCAGCCCCACACAACAACAATGCAACAGTAATGTGCAGAAACATTTATATTTGCTTCCAGGGTAATAAACACATTTCAAATGAAAAACTGAAGTTTACTTTTCTTTCTACATTCTTAGCAAGCATATTTGACTATATTATATTTGTAGCAGAGAAAGGTCCGCTTTCAGTAAGAAAACAAAAACACAGGTAATTAGGTACTAATAAACATTTCTAGCCATTAGCTCTTTGGTATAATGCAGCTTGACATAACACAAATTAATTAGACATCAAAACACAAATTAATTATTTCGGCTTTTACATGGTAGCAGTCTAAGTCATCATCAAATTTCCAGAATTTCAGCTCTTTTGTGAATCCAGTTTCACAACCATGATGCATCACACAAGAATCCCTCTTACTTATGTAGATTAGTTACTCTTCTTAAATTGCCTTAACCAGAGGTAAGGCTTTATAAACAACTCAAATGGACATCACTTTTTCTGTGAACTTTGCCATATTGATCCACCAAAAGAAACTAATCTCTTCTAAAAACATACAAAGAAACAAATTAGGTATGACAAAGAAATGTTTTAGTTCTAAACAGATGGGATTAGAAGGATTAGAGAAAAGGTTACTCCTTGATATGAGTCATTTTAAAAGCATGAACTCATCAGCCTTTGAAGTAGTTTCCATTCAACCTGTAAAATATATAAATTGTGCCATTCCAGAAATGGAAAACATAATTATTTACCACTGGAAAAGATGTCTTAGAATTAGAGAAGTGCCAAACTTCTATGCAAGCGTTAAATTACTAAAAAATGTGCATCTCATCATATATCCTAATTCTCTCCCTTCTCTCTCTTTTTTCTCAAGGTTTTCTACTCTCAGTTTCAAAGTCTCTGCAAGAGGTAGAAGATGAAGATATGTTGCTTGCTGCATTAAATCTAGGAAAAACTCTACAAAATGGAGATAAAAGTATGAACAGAGGAGCTATACCTTTGCTGAAGTACTACAAGGCTGAAGACAGCAGTGTTTTCAATGATAAGAATGCTGGAAACACAAAGTTTTTGGTGAGTTCAGTTTTAAATTTTGGCTTCATTGTAAAATTGAAATTCATTTATACCCCTTTAGAAAACAAGTGCAACAATTTAAATCAATAACCAGGTAAATATATAAAAATAACAGTTCAACATAACATAGTCAAGAAAAAAAATTCAACTCTATATCTCTAATGCCAAGATTCTAAATGTGTAACTTGGAGAGTTGAATTAAATCTGATTTTCACAGACAGTAGCCAAAACTTGGAGGATGGGGGTTGGGGGGGTAAGAAGAAATTGATATTTATATTTGATGATGTCCCTATATGCAGCAACAGGTTTTTAACTTTGCCAAATGTGAGACTCATTATTCAATTATATCCATTAAACCAATTTAGCCAAAGATGCAATACAGGTTATAAAGATTAAGGTACGATTTTGAAACATAAAATAACTGCCCTGTTGGAATATAAAGAACAAAATGTGATACAATTGACTTTAAATAAAGATAAACCTCTTGTCTTCCCTCAAAACAGGATAGAGGTTCCAGGCATGATTTCTTCAATCATGTTATGCCAATCAACATAGGTAGAAAGCAACTACCATATCCTGCACTGAAGGGAGCCATGGCTTTTCCAGCTGACACTGAAATTCAAAATATTGAGTCAATACAGGAAAGAGAGACCACAGATGAAGAAAATTCAGCTAAATTACCTATTGGAAGAAGAGATTTTGACAGTAAATATATTTTATTTTTGCACAGAAAATTATTTCATTTTGGTAAAGTACACTGCAATGTCAATAGAGCAATTTGGTAAAGGTTCATTTAGAGACTACATGACTGTTATGATTTGGTGCACGTGGGAGGGAGCATTTGTTAAATTAATATTTCCAGAAGCCATAAGAATACTGGTTCTTTGATGATTGAAATTTTCAAGCTCTTTTTCTCTCCTGCAGTCCTCAGGTGTATGCTGGGAAGAGTCTATCGACCTTGTTGGCAAGTGTGAAAACTACTTATCTCCACCACCTTCTCTGAACAGTAAACATTTTATTCTGAATTTAATGTAATTTGAAGTTACTGAGTGTTGGTGTAACTGTACATACACATCCAAACTTAATTTCCCATTGCATTGTAGAGAGATACATAATTCATTACCAAAAATAACAGTGTAATCATTAACAATGTACTGTTGTTAAAAAATAAAATACTTCAGCATAATCCAGACTTGTAAGCAATTGTCTACTATAATATACAAGCTACTTACAATTATTTACATATGAAAGGAAGTAATTCATAAATTTCACCTGTTTTCTTGCAAAATTTTACAACTATCAAGATATCATGTATGTGAAAACAAAAACTTAGAGCTGAAAAAAGCGAGTTAATTTTGCCTGACCAGCAATCAACTTATTCTTACTTGCACTTTTGGTCTGTTTTCTTTTTCCACCAATTTTGCTGTCCAATTCCTTCTTAGAGCTGCTTGAAGTCTTCAGTCTTTTAGTATTTTTTTGCAAAGATGGTTCACTTTCCTTGTCACAGATTATTTTGTCATTATTCAAATCCATCTGTTCATTCTCAGAGTTCTTGTTCCTTGGCTGACAACTCAGCTTTCCCATTTCTGTATAACTTCTAGTCTGGTGAACACTTTCAGAAATAGTTCCAAGCCCTGGTACATCAAGACATGAATTTGGACCTTCTGTCATGTAAGAATATCAAAAACATATGTGAGGAAATAAAAAGTTACCTGGGAACACACATCCTTTTTCTATGAGGACTGCCATGTTATTTTTTTTTTAATCAAAAATAATGTATTACCAATAAAACAAAGCTATGCTTGTCATTGCTATTAAATTTGCTATGTGCTCATAAGTGCATTGCCAATTTAAAATTACATTGCTCAAAAACATGTAAGAACTAACTTAGGGAAGTGGATTTATAACTTTAAGATATTGGAAGAGAGGGTTAAAGGGCATAAAAATTTTATATATTATATAGTTTGTACTGCAGTAAAACAAATTTCCCCCCCTTTTAATGGCAAAAATATAAATTGCACTTGGCTTACTTTTGTAGAATAAGAACAGATATGTCATATATGCAACATATATCACTTTTTTACTGCAAGATAGCATCAACACACTTTTCAAACATTTATATTTTCAAAGCATTGGCACTACAATTTTATTGCAAAAAGATTTAAGTGGCATATGAGACATGGAGAACAATGAGACATTTTTGTTCCTTTTCTTGAAAATATTTGAGTTATGCTAAAGGCTTTTTGGATAGCATTTAAAGTATTACCCATCATATTTATTTATTCAATCCTACCACAGCTTACCTGTGGGCTTTCCAGCTTTTAAATGTTGCTTTGGTACAGGATGTTTGCAGGATGGAATTGCACGGGAATGCTGGCCACTCATTTCACTCAAATCATTTTTATATGTACAGGCAAACTGTGATTTAATTGAAGATTGCTTCATCTGCAAAGACCAATCTACTATTAGCTTCTATAATTTAAAAAAGTGAAAGACAACACCAGCAAGACTTTTATAATAATGAGCTTTACCATTCCTTTCACATAAAATACAAGAAAAATTGATATGCTCACATAAAAAGGAAAATTAGATATTAATTTACAAGGCATAAGGGCTTTCAAGAATAATCATTTATTATTCTATTAAAAGTACTAAAATAATTCAAAACTATTTTTTCAGCTCCTTCAGAAAGGTACACATTAACTCTTAGACTTCAAATTAAAGTTTTCTGTCTTAAGTTAGCCCTGCCTTCTGATAGACTCCACTGTTTTGAGTACGTGTTACTAGGGTCAACTTTCATACTTCTGCAGCTCATCATCTGTACTTCTATATGAAAGGGGAATATCAAGTATTATTTCAGATTTCCTGTTTATTCACAAAACAAAGCCACTTCACCACTGAATGCCAATGTCTAACTCCTCATTTGCCAAAACAAGGCCATTTAGCTTAAGTCCCAGGTATAATTTCCTCAGCTTATTCTTAAGTTACAGCTTCACATCAGCTGAGAATTTTGGGTCAAGCATTGTATTTTCTGTACAATTGACAATAAATGGTATAGGTTCTGCAAGACAAATTCTGTCCTCACTTCCATTTGAAAGTGCACTGGATTAAATGAATTATATTGAAAGACATAGCACAAAGCGGATAACTACAACTGGATTTTTAGCTAATAATTGCATCACAACAGCACAGGCAAATTTAAATCCATTTGAGCTGAACAGGTGCTTCAGTAAAAGCATCAGAGAAAAGAAAAAGTAATAAGCACTGTAACAAAATAAATATTACTACATAAATAGATAGCAGGAGTGATTCGTTGAATAAAAGGTTTACAGACACTTTTCTGATTAAAAGGTTTGCATTATGCAAGTCTACTTTTCTTCTTAGCACAAGCAAGATTAAACATGCAGTTCATATTTGACCCTTAGAGATATACTTTTCTTCTAACTTAAGTTCTCAAATTTAGACAGAAGGAAAGAGAATAATGTTCCCAGAAACATTCTTTCACAGAGGACATTATCCAGAAAATTCAGTCACAATTGATGCCACTTTGATCAGATCCTGCTTTCCTACATACAGGGTAACAAACTGGAGCTTATCACTGAGATGCAACTTAGATATCTCTTCATGGTACTGCTGTTGGCCAAGTGAATACACTGAGTATTTGGAAAAAAATACCTCATTCATTTACAGAAAAAAGTTATTCTTTCTGGTTCAATACACCTGGACATACATAGTTTTAATTTAATCCTCAGTATTCCCTTCAAGAGTCAAAAATACCAAGTTTTCCCTGTTGTCTATCACTCCCAAACTGCAATTTGTTTGGGCCAGATAACAGACTGGGAAAGAAAAGGAGATTTTACAGGGCAAGCTAGCAAGACTGACTCTCAAAAACTCAAATATCTTCCTAGTGTTAATCTACTTTATACTTTAAAATATTTACCACAAAATAAGACTACATACAGAGATATTTACAAGGTTTGTATGCTTCAAGATTATGCCTCAGCTCACTGACTGTAAGTGGAATTATAGTATATTCTGAGTTGGAAGGGACCTACAAGAGCCATCAAGTCCAGCTCCTGGCCCTGCACAGGACACCCCAAGAATGACACCACATGCCAGAGAGCATTGTCCAAACACTTGATTTCTGTCAGAATTAGTAGCCCAACCATTACCCTAGGGAGCCTGTTCCAGGGCCCAATCAACATTCAGGTGAACATCTTTTTCCTAATATCCAACCTCAACTCCTCAAAAAGCTTCAAGGCATTCCCTTGTGTCCTATTGCTGGCCACCTGAGAATAGAGATCAGAGTCTGCACCTCCTATTCCTCTTGTGAGGAAGCTTTAGACTGTCTATGTCATTATATTCTTTTCAGAAAGTGTTTTGAAGGATAGAGCACCTGTCTAATTTAAATTTAGTGACTATCATATTGTACAATTACAATATTAAGGAGATACAGGACTTGCATTTCCTTTCAGCTCCAGGTTACTGTAATATTAATGAAAAATATTTTCCAGTACTTGATATGTTTTTGAAAAAACTTCATTTTAATCCTTTACAAATTCCTCAATTCTGAATTACTGTTCAGTAAATGACACACATCAAAAATTATGCAACTTCAATGGCTTTCTGTCACATTCATATTGCAAGAGGCAAATAAACTACAATTTTGCAAAGTTGATTAATCTATAATAAATACAGCATGAAGAACATAAAATTTGAGAAAGAAAGTCTGACAGTTACCATTCTATAACCAGCAATTATTTTTTTATAAACAACAGCATTTCTTTTTACCATTCCCATCTTTCACTTCACTAATTCACTTTGTAGGGATTAAATATGTGGAGTCAACAGACAGAAGTCAAGCTCAAACACTGAAAAACTCACAACATAAACCCATCTGTGTTTCAACTTCACTGAAGCTTGAAATATGTCTATTGCATCACATACCACTCAGGCATTTGCAAACAGGACACACAAAGCTCTACCAAATCAGACTGGATGCTAGAACTAATCTAGAGGGTGCATATAGAGTGTAAGACACCTTTGTTGAAGTAGTCAAACTTCTCAACTAGTCTAGGAACATATATTCACTAGTATAAAGAACTGTGCTACAGTTCCATACTGTATTACATTGGTTGAAGTAGCAATAAGCACATTTTAACAGCCTGAAGGCAGCAGAAGGGAGCACAAGTCTAGCACTGAATTACAAAGTAGAGCTTCCCTGGAATGTTTTTAAGAAGAAAGATCGACCTAAAATTTACTTGAAGCACACAATGAAACCTGTCAACAGCTTGAAAAAGCTCATAGAAAAAAATCTTTTTAAGTTCTTTTATATTAAATTCCCTAAAAATCACTACTTTAAGAGCACCACTCCAACGACCCACAGCTCTGGAAGAGAAAAAATGTTGGGAGATCAGTTTGCTGCATACAAGTGGCACACAATGAACTCAGTCTTACTATTCCTTCTCCTCTTCACAAGCAAGTCAGATGTTGCTCTTATCCCCATATCCCCATAAAAAGAAAAGTTCTGCTGCACTTCAGAAGAAAAGGTTCACTGTTACCCCTCTTCAGCTGGGACAAAGTAGGACAGAATTTACAACTGTTTCAGCACAGGGAGGCCAATTAGAAGTCCTAATAAGCACATAAAGCAGTACATTCTCCCACCTTAACATCTGCATCTAGAGAAAGCTTTCAGTTGTTCAAGATGCCCATATAAAACATTTGCTTTTATGTGAAATATTAATGGTGCATGCTCTATTTATTTCTAAAAGTTAGATTATAATCTGTTCCAGATCTCCTTCCAGCATCTGCATACAGACAGTACTGCCAATATTTAGTCACTAAGAATGTTGAGATTTGGTTTTTATGCACTGGAATGGCATAATAGAATTTGAAAACCTACATCAGTAACAACAAACACATGTTTTTATTTTCTAGCCAAACAACTAGAGTACTATTTGGAAGGGAAAAAGAGATAAAAAGAAAACTTATTTTCTCCATCCTTACCCTTGTCCTCTAAGAAAAAAAAAATATTCAAGGTAAGTTGAAAAAGGAAGTTGAAAAAGGGAAAGGAGTAAAAAAGGACAAGTAACAAAATAATAAATTATATATTTGCCAAACAAAGGTATATTATTAAAAAATATCCTGGATATCTCAGGTAGTAGAAAGCTTTTATTGTTCTACAACAATCAATTTTTTTTTAACACAATATTGTACCAGCCTTTTGCTATCCCGAAATAACCTGCTACTGTTTTGAGAACATAAGCCCCAAATCACCTCATTATTGGCTTTCAAATAAAACTCACAGCTATGGATACTAAACAAAGTAGTTTGGGGGTCTTGCAGAAATAAAAGTGGTATTTTCTACACAAATGTGGCTTATTGACTGACACAAAGTCTTTCCTCAGATTTTGTGCTGAACATGTAACCTTTTCATTCTATTTACTTCCCTCCTCTACTAAACTGCCAATCAACTTTGGTGTTCTCCATAATTATATTGCACTAAGGAAATAGACATTTTTAGCAACAATAGATGAGACTACTACCTGAAGAAGTTTGTTTTCTCTATTACTATGGCTCTTCTGTTCACAATTACAGTGGGCATATAAGAAAACTCTTGAAAACTTCCTGTTAATAGTTTTCCAAGTCACAGTTTATTTGTACTGGAATCACAAATAGGCAAAACAATTCTCTCAAGTAACAGCATTTAGAGAACTAAGCTATGAAAAATAACAGCAGTGCATGAAGCTAGATATTAAGTCATTTTATAGACATATGAAAAAGTCACATGAGAACGGCAAACCAAGATTTTTGCTTTTTTCTTGGAAGGATTTCTATACACAGTAAAATTACAATGAACTTCAAGCATGCCAAGATTTGTTAGAGTTCTTAAGCCACAAATTCTTCTTAAAACTAGATCTGCAGCTATGTTCCCAATTGGAGGGAAATAGTGCCTCATATAGGAAAGGTTGTCTCCGGTTACATTAAGAAAAAAACCACACCAAACTACTGAAAGTCCTTGCAGCTGTTTCAGGGTAAGTCTGCTAACAGTGCAGCAGGCTTTCTAAAACAATATATCAAAAGGCCAAAACAATCTTAACTTTGCAAAAAAAGATCTGTTACACTCTCATATATTGCACGCTTACAGCCTAATAACTTTGATTCTTCAGTTTTCAGTTCTGAAGTTCTCAGTTCCACTCAATCCCATTAGTTCAGGAACAGATTTCACCTACAACTTGAAGGTCTCAATATTTTGCAGTGCAGAACACAGATGAAAATCTTATTATGCAACTTTTTTTTGTCCTAAGTAGCTCCTCAGGCTAAACAAAGCACGTTATTGTAACAGGCTGTTCATTCCCCTCTCACACCACTAAGCAGAGCTTTAATAACCCATAGAAATCTACAAAACAACTAGTCACTAACAGGGTTTCTACTCATTTCACATAAATAGTAATATGAGTCAAAAAAGTAGACATAAGGCTGGATGAATCCTTTTCACATAAAACAACTCTCTCCTGTCCAATGAAGCTTCTTATGTATTTCAATAAAGCAGACAAGTGACATAACAAGGACAGCTGACAAGACACATAATTCAATACATGTTCCACAGACCTTTCTGAATTAAAGACTCCCTCTACAAAACACCATTCACCAGAAGACACTTCACTTAAACAACAGATAAACTAGAAACTAAATTGACTCCCAAAGGAAAAACCAAGTTTCATATTCTTGTTCTTACCTACTTCTGCTAGAGGAAATGAAACAATGCAACATGCTTGTTCCCCAAACTTCTTTCTCATCAAGCCATAAGAGCAACAGCTTTGCTTCTGAACAAGTGCCAATATAGTTGGGTGATATTTCTGTGTTTCTTCCAGTATTTAATGAGGATTGAAAGACGAAAAATATTTCTTCATCATTCACTGTTGCCAGGAATTTGTTTTGGCACAACGGAAACATCCACAAGATTTATTTTATTTCTGAACACCAATTCCAGTTCATAGCTACCTGTTTATTTTATCCACTGTCCTTATTTTTAGATACTAAAACACATAGTGATGATGTGCCCTAGGTCTAAATATTATCAATCTGCATTCCTCCATATAATTCCACAGAAGTTGAGAACTCAGATCCTCTTAAGGAAAGAGGGGAAAACAAATTTTTATCTCTTGCTTCTTTAAAATTTTATTTTTAATTAAGGTGTTTCTCTTTTTTCTTTCTAAATTTGCCTAAACTTCTTCATTTAGATATAGGGACTGAGCATACAACCAAACTAAACACCACTATTGTATTTTTCTTCCCTTCTCAAATATCATGGAAAAGGTAACTTTTATAGGATAAGTCCTAATGAGACATCCTATAACCACCTAACACCTATCAGAGGCAGCATGGTAAAAAGGCACTTAGGACAGTCTTTTGGAACTAAAGTTACCATCACATATATGGCAAAAGAAACTTTCTGAAGGATCACAGATATTGAGAAGAAACATTGTTTTGCTATTCCCTTACTTAAAAAAAAATCTAGTATCTCCTGAATCAATTACTAACACGATGCATAGCAAAATTTGTAACTGTGAATTTTACAAGCAACCTGTACACATTTCAAGATGTTTGCATGGAATAATAATGGAGACTGACATCCAGCGTAAGGTGGTAAATATTACTACAGCACTTGAGATCTACAGCTATTGAGAAGGAATTCTCTCTGCTATGTGCTCTACAGAAAGGACAGAGTAAAATTTACTTCTACCAAGAGACATTACAATCCTAGACAAGACATATATGGTTTCACAGCAAAAGGAACTGAAATTAGTCACTGTAATGGGCATTTATCTCCACAAAAGGCACTACTAAGATGTGGGGAGAGGTTGATTTAAAGGTACTGAAAAAGATTTGAAAGGAGTATAATGAGTTCTGCAGATATGTATAGGAAATCTCTTCAGCCATAAGAAACTGTATAAAAGCTAAAAGGATTCAGCTGAAAATTAGCAAATGAACAACAAAGACTGGTACTGCAGGCTGAATATAAGCAAGGACATAGCAAAGCAATAAATCAAATAATGAGTGGATTCAGGCAGGCTAAAACAAGTAGCTTATATGTACTACAATTTAAAGGAACAGACTGGGATGGAAACAATAGGATGGCATCAAGTGTCTAATCACTTTAATAAAAATCTTTTGAACAGTAATCTCAGTGAAGGAACGTGGGCTAAAGTTGCAACTATCAAGTCTAAGAAAAACATACAGCAGCACATCAAAAAGTAAAATGAACACCTAGTGAATTACACTTGAGTAGATATAGAAAAAAATATTCCAGAAATGCCATGGAGTGAAAATAAAGCATGTAGAATATCTTCTTCAGTGTTATAGAAATACACCGGGAAAGACAGACCTACCACCTCAAGATCAAGAGCTGGGTATCCACAGGATAGTGTAGAATTAACAGAAGATACCAATTTTGACAAGAGGGACACTTAGGTCACTCAATCTGAATTGTTGATAGATGAAGTTTTGTTTGTAGATGTATGCAGTTACAAAGGTACAGAAAGAGAAAAGAAGAGAAAGATACGGACTTAGAAGGAGAAACATGCAAAAGAAATTGTAGAAGTTGTTAGAGACGTAGAGAGAAAAAAATAAAATGAAAGATCAACATTTTAAGAAAGAAGTAGGATTTGATATGAGAGGGTGGAAATCAAAATGGACGGCAGAGAAGTGAGTCTTAGTTATAAAAGTCGTTGGTTGTTCAGCAACAACCATTTTAGTTGACTCATATTTTTGCTTGTTTCTCTTAAAAACATGTAAAAACTAGCAAATGTGTCAAATGTGACAGGTAATTACTTTTAGATAATTTCTGCACTTTGATATTGAACACAACTGTTCGTGTATCCAATTAAAGGTTTCACTAAGAGAATTATGTATTTCAACAATTTTTCAAACACCATGACACATTATTGCTATTTGATGAGTAAAGCTGCAATTTAAATAGGTTGTTTACATAAAATATATCAGATTTTTATCATTTTTTTCATAATTTGCCTATAAGTTTTAAACTAAATTTCACCCTAATTAGTGCATGTATCCAAAATGCTTGTCCTTGACCCAATACACAAAAAAGGACTCAGTATGAAGTCAGAGCATATTTAAAATGCATGCTGAAAATACTGACAGTGCTTTTCATTTTGATGTCTTTCTACTTCTTAGACATGTACTATGTGTTCAAGTTTATCTAATGTCCAGTGAAAGATATTTTTCCATTGTGCTGTTCTAAAACCAGTACTGATGGCTTAGAACATCTCTTCCTAACATGCTAATTAGATTTGTGTTTTTACATATCAGGACTAAATCTGTAAAAATATTATGCCATTACTTTTATTTAGCTTTCTGTTGAAATACTGCAGAAGACAAGCTCTGCCTCCATCCATAGTCCCAACACTCAAGTTTGCCAATTTTAAGGAAAAATACTTTGTAAAATGCAGTGCATTGAAAGACAGCAATTTTCAGAAACATTGTTCTTTTGAATAGAGCCCCTCACAACATCAGTGTGCTCCTGTAAAGTTCCTTTTCATCTACAAAACATTAGCATCTTTATTTTATTGTTCACTAAGCAATGTTATAGAAATGTCCTCAGAATGGCACAAATAAAAAGCATCAAAAGAAAAAAAAGCAATGAAATCATCATTATTACATTTTTTCAAAGTCTATTTCATCAGAACTAAAATCAGGTGCCTGTATTCAGTTTAATCTCTGTTTTCAGATAGCTTGGTTTATTTCTATGGTCCTGAAATACACAGATAGGTAAATGAAGAGAGATTAATTAGTACACGTTCACTGAGAAATCTTCATTAGGAAATACTTTTAAGTTTAAAGCATCTCTCTTCTGGAGTTTTAGATATTTCTATTCATATTACAATACCGCTCTAGCTGGGCCAATTTCCTCAGGTTAATCACAATTACATTTCTTTAGCTATGGGACGAAAATCTCAGAAACCTGGCTGAATTGTAACACTGCTACTATTATTTTATCACTATTATTACAATGCCTCTATATTTGCATAGCAATTCCTACAGAGTACCTTAATTACTTTTTCATCCATTGATTTCAGAATACGTTGTTTAAGAGGTTTTGGAGAAGAGCCACTGGATCGTGCAGGAGATCTGTATTAAAAAGAGAAGTATTTAGGATATGTAAAAGCAATTCTTTAATAAAAACTGTTCTCATATCAAGTTCCTCAGAAACAGAAAGGCAAATACCTTTACTCTCCAAGCTTTACCTTATTTTCTACTTTCTTAAGGAACAACATACACTGTGACAACTCAAAAGAGCACAAAGAAACCAAACCTACAGTTCCAATTTCTGGTACTCATTTTGCAGTGTGTTTCCAATATTGTAGTTCTGCAGACTACAGACTACTTAATAGTAATATTGTTACTATTATTATTTGTAATTCTAATGATGATCATCTAAGCCACCATTCTACTTCCACCCTCCTGAATAGCATCTGGTTAACATTCAATATAGTTTTTCACATATTTCACACAAAATGTTTCCACTCTCTTACACATCATTATGTAAGTAGTTACATCAAGGAAAAAATTTGATGCTTATAATGAAAAAAATTAATGATGCATATAAAGGGGAATTTTTTGGTCTTGAAATAAGAACTAATCTATGCATTTGTAAGTAATTTCTTCTCTGTTTAAGGTCATGGCAGATCAATGTATATATGAGGACATTCATATGTTCTTCAACAATAATTTAATTTTTATTTAGCTCATTTTATCCAATTTTTCATAAATAAAATTTGATTTATTTATCTTGTTGTTTATGTTATTTATTTCTAGCGTTCTGTGGTGCAAAATTTCTGCCAGCCTTGCAATGGTTCTCCTATTTTAATTGTCAAAATTTATAGCTTCATCACATTACTGTCAACATTATTGTTCTGGTTCATGAATCCTCCCTGTAACCAATAATTCTTTGTAAGCAATATTCTTTGTAACCAAATTCTCAGCATCCTGTTTTTTCAACAGCTGACCTATGACCAAATCAATCATCGCTGCTTCTTCAGTCCATGGATAGGTGAGTTTCCATGTCAGTGCCTACAGAAATGGGTTTTGGGGTGTCCTTCATAGAGTTTGTGCAGCCCAGAAATGCACTATATCAAAAAATCCACGTTACAAAAGTATCTAGAAAATACTAATGAAGATTCAGAAAGCTTTTGAAAACTCAAAACTGTTCTAAAATTGCTTTCCCTTTACACCTAATCTCACAGCAGACTGCACGTTGGTTATTTGTTTCGTGTAAGTAACAGCAATGCTTTGTTAGACTCAGATCCCTAAAAAAAGCACAAACAAAGTAACACAACAAAAGCAACCTCCTAATACTTACCTGAAGAGCGTCAAAACAGAGGTGATGCCACACAAATTTAAGTTTTCATTGTCACACAACAGGTCTGCTTTGTTCTGGGTAGGAGGACTGACAGCTTCTTCATCCAGAAGAACTAGCAAGACTTTTATAGTATCTCTGCCACAATAAGCAGTGCCATGATTTATGGAATGCAATTTTGGCTGAAAGTAAACAAAAAAGGAACATAAAATAGCAAAGTTCATCAAGCCAGACCAATAGTTCAGCTCCAAAATCAATCTACATCAGCACAAGGTGTGAGAATCCCTTCCTTCCCTTTTGAAGTAAGGGGAATTTATGCAGAATTTCTCCATGGGAAAATTTTTCTCATCCCAAGTAGTTAGTGGAGTTTAGATCACTGACAGCTACATGTATACACTGATGAGCAAGTCACACAGAAAAATATCTAAATCTATGCTGAAACTGTGCAGCAGAAATGAACCTCCTATTTTCTGGTACACAAACACATCCTGGTGAAGTCCAACCATTCTGACTAACAATCTGCTAAAGCAGTTGGTTAAAAGTGAGATTTCCATCAAGATTTGACAACAGAGGTACGTGGCACAATTTCCTGTTGTTTGGGTGAATTCCCCACGATTTTCCACTAGAATAAAGAATTCCTTACAGAAAAAACCAATCCGCATCTGGAAGTGCTCAATGCAACAGTCAGCAGTACAGATGGAGAAATCCATAGCCACTGTGGGACTTAAAATATCTTGAAAGTTGCTATATTTTTCTTTAAAGGTACTAGGAATTCCACAGAGAAATTTAGGGCTTCATACACAGTGGTAGTTATTTAAAAACTATAGGCTCTCTTACTCACTAATACACAGAAACACTGAATACTCTGACTTTATTCTGAAGGGCAAGACAAGCAATGAACTGCATTTATCTAATCAGTTAACTGCTTTTAAACACAGTCTTGAAAAGATCAAATTCTATTTTTCTCTCTATTTGATTACATCAATTAGTGTATGTAGCTTTCAAGAAACCATAGCAACACATGTCAGTCAGCTACTATAAGTTATAATCAATAGCTAGAAATAGCAATTACAGAAATGGATGTTACTTGGCTTTACGGAATTGGCCTATTTCAGTACCATTTAATTTCCCCAAAATTTATTCTGAACCTCTTCAGTCATTACATCACCATAACAGATTTTTATTAAATGTCATGTGTGCCATTGTGAATTTGTCTTAATGAAAGAAGTACAAACTTGGCATCATCTTGACTGATGATACACAAAGAAAAAAAAAAAAATCTTTGGAAATAACTTTCAGAAATCTCAAGTACTACAACACCAGAGGCTCACTCTCTGTACTAGCCATGGACAAAAGTCCAAGGCAAAATAAGAATTCTAGGTAAGACAACAAAAAGATCTCAGTAAGACAAGAAAAAAAAAAATCATGCTTATAAATGAGTCTAATCATGAAACAAATTATCTTTTTAAAATAACAGTTACAGCCAGATTCTAGTAGTAATTTTCTTAGGAAGAAATAAATCATAATTCCTATTAATCACTTGTGCAGTCTTCAACACAAAATAGTGCTTCCTGCTGCATAAATTAATAACTTCTCCTGGAGCTCTAGATTCTTATAAACCAGGTATTTGGAGGAAAACTGAGCAATGATGGAAGAAAACTGCCACTGCCAGGAGAAATGCAAATATTTTTCTAACAAAGTTACACTTTTCAGGTACATTTTATGAGGAAGCAGCTTTACCAGGAGCTAGTGGAGGCATAATTTTCACCGCTACACTTAAGATTGTCTTTTAAATTTGCACTCAAAGAAATTATTTAATCTCTTGCATAGGGAAAAAAGTCTAACATCCTTTCAAACCAACTTAAATTGAGTATAGATCATTTTTTCTGAACAACTACAGCATCAGGGGGCTTTCTTATTAAGTGAAATCAAAACAAAATCCCCAAGTTCTATGTAAGAATCAGAACAAAGCATTAATCTTTGCTGTCCAGAGATCTTAATAGAACAACACAGATGCTCTAATTTCTAATAGAGTTTGAATTAATTTGGAAAACTTATGGGACTTTCTAAATTTTGCTTTCTCTTTTCATTACAAAAGGTAACCTGCCCCTCCATATGTTTAGTGACATCCACACCAAGTGGTTCCTCCACACCAAGTTCCACTAAAATATGCCATTTGGTATCACCATCTTAGCATTTGTCTAAGCTCCCTTTTCCACTCCTCAGCTCTCTGAATCATATGCTTAAGGATAATTGCGACGAATTTCTATTTTAACAATTTTCCCAGACTTCACTTATATCAACAAAAAGAATTCCCCACACCAAAATAAACACAACACTGATAAACAATTTAGACACATGCTACCCCTCATCCCTCCACAATTACAAAAAAATAAGTCTCCCCACAGTTATTCCGTTCTCTACCAATGTTCAGTCACATTTGCCCATTACCTCTCTCAACTACTGTCCTTATTTCTAATTCCTCAGGCCCCACAAAGGACTGTGCTGGCTGACCCTGGTTATCTGCCAGGTGCTCAACAAGCTGCTCTATCCTTCCTCCTCCTAAACAGAATAGGAAGTGAAAAAACCTTGAAAAAATCTGATGGAAGTAAGATGAGGACAGATTGTTCACTTACACACCATAAACAAAAGAGATCTGACTTTATGAAATTAATCTAATTTATTGACATTTAATCATAATGGGATCCCTTTCTTCTTCCCAGACTCAACTTCACTCTTAACTTTTCTACCTCCTTCCCTCAAATGGCACAGGCGGATGGGGAATGAGGATTGCAGCCAGTTCTTAACACTTTGTCCCTTCTGCTGCTTCTCCCTCACACTCTTCCTCTTCTCCTCATTGTGGAATACCTCCCATGGGATTCAGCCCATATTTTGGAAAAGCAATGGTGAATTTCTCTGAAGAATGAAGTTTTAATAAAGTGTTTTTTTCTGGTTTATAATGATCTACATGATTTTTTAAAATTTTGTTGGTAACACAAGTAGCTAAACAAAGACAGAACTGATGATAGTTATCATTTTCTCAGATGGGAAAGAGAAACAAATAGAAGAACATGAAAGGGAAACACAGCAATAGACTGAACAAATATTCATAGCAAACAGAAAAATGAGGATGAAATATATATCCAACATACTCAGCGGAAACACACATTTAAACCAGATTAACTAGCCAATAGGGTCTGGCTGGTTTTACCTGTCTTAAAAAAGAAAAAGGATACTGAAGGTTTGATTAAAACTTGTTAAAAATCTTTTGCTACCATGGCATAAATCCAATGCCTTCACAAAACAAAGCATCCTAACAATCCTAAACACATTGAAGGTGTCTATAATTTTTTTCTCATTTGCTAGAAAAACAAATGACATTAGATATCTTATACATCAATTATAAAAAATAAAATAATTAAAGTTGGTTGATTTTTTCATCACAAAAAGATTATAATCTAAAACTGAGTAGATTCACAGTACATGAACCACAAACAGAAATCTTGTATTATGCCCTCAACACCTGACTTACAGAACTTCAAATATCCTGATTCCTTCCATGAAAACAAAGTCATTAATAGTTTCATTACTGTCTTGAAACACTAAATGAGAAAAGCTTACACATGATTGTTTGGGGCTTTAATTCCCTTCCCACTCCACATTCTACCATGCTTTAGATTTCTTACATATTTAACCTGACCTTGAAGGCCTTACCCTTTGAAATACTTGATGCTATGCTAATTAAAAACTGTGTATTTTAATAAAAAATTACTGATACATGTTCTCAAATCTTCATTCTACTTTCATGAGGTTCTTTTGTTTGGAAATTTGTTATAGATTTACTGCTTTGAAATTAATGGCAAATCTGACACTTCTAAGTATCTACATTTATAATAACTGCACAACCAAATTAAGCTTTGAAGAGTATTTTACGTGCAATTTTAAGGTAAGAAATTTAGTTTATGTAAATCAGTTCTTTGATATCCACAGTGTAATCCTCAAGTGTAAGTCTTTCAACAACAGTGTAGAGGAAATGACTACTTTTATACAGTTAAGAAAAAGATTATACTCTATAGATAGTCTTTTAAAAATGTAAAAGAAACAAAACAGGCAAAAGATTTTTGCTTTCTTATAAAGCTAAACAGCAAAAAGAACAAAAGAAGTCCCATTACCCGTGCTGGACTGACTCCAGTAGTGCTAGCAGTCGAGGTTTCCTGTTGTGAATCGATAATATTTTTAATCTTCAAATCCAAGTCTTGTACAGCTTCCTCTACTGCCTGACAGAAAGGATCCCCATTGCTTCGGCCTTTTATCAAATGCATCTTCACTGTTGACAGAATTCGCCCCCCTGCAATTCTGAAAATAGGCACAGGGTCATCTCCACATTAATCTTGGCAACACTTGAGTACACCTATTAATGCTGAACATTGCCAGCCTTCCCTGCTCATCAGAGAGAGCAGCTTTGATCTTTCAAATCAAACAGCAGCATAGACGTATTGTCCAACACAATAGTTTGCTAAAAAAAATAATTATAAGGTAATGAATTCAGTATTTAGTAATACTCTGAGCTGCAATACAAAACTAATGATCCTCCTTAGAGGTTCAAAGAAAAGTACTTTCTTTAAACCGGTATGTACAGTTTTGCTCAAACTGTTAAGTGTAAACAATTTTTTTCACTCAAATATGCATTCCTGTTTAATATCCCATTAGATTTGAGTTTCTGTGCTTTGTAAAGGTGCTTCAAAATCCCAATCTTCTTTCAGTTTTATTTAAATAGATAGTGATTAGACCACATGAACTTCCCTATTAGCTATAAAGGCACACTCCATTAATCGCTTTCTTCAGCAAATGCGTCCGATCATTTAATTAAGATTTTGTGAAAAAGAGAATAAGCTCCTTGAGTTAAAAGCTTAACAATTTTTTCCAGTACCTAAACAAAACACTATGTATGTTCTACTATTGCTTTGTCTTGGGCAAAGAAAATAAAGCATTACAAGAACCACTCAGCTCTCTTATATAGTAATGCATCTCTTCCCCAGTTTTTTTTTTTTCCTAAATAAGGTTTGCAGTTCACATCAAAGCAGAAATGAGCTGTTTTGAGCTGTTATTGGTACCTACAGTAGAATTTTTAGTACATTTATGTACATTAGAACATTCATGATGCTGCAAACGACAGTTCTGTCAATACCCTAAAGAAATGGCTTCATTACTTCAGGCCATACAACCAAGAGTGATATGACTCAGTTTTCAACTTCCTCCATCCTTACTGGTTTCCTTCATGCTCCTGCCAGCTTACCCTAAAAGAAGAACTTGCAACTGCAAATGAAGATGTATTTTGTACACATAACATTCTGAAGATAAATTTTAGAATTCCAGTTGGGAGAACCTTCATCAAATGAAACTCTTCATGTTTACATTCATATAAAATATAAAATAATTGGGCAGAACTAGATAAAAATAGGAATTGAGTCAGAGGAAAAATAGTTTGTTTATATTGTTTCCACTTAAAATACATGGAGGGAACTGGGCCAGAGATCTTAATGTTTTGGCTTATTCTGGCTGAAAAAGATTCCTCTAAATAACTTGAAAAATCTGACATTAACATGAAACTTTAGGGGGGAATTGCTGTTGGGTTTTTTTAAACAGGAAAAAAACAAATATTTCCACACAAGTCTCAACTTCAACTTTTACAGACTAAAGATATTACAATTCACATTAGATTTGCAGGCTTCATTAAATAGAAAAACTTATGCTTTGAAGAAATTTAAGCACAGTGTATGCACTTGGCCAGAAGAAAAATCACCATGTCCAGTCTCTCTGTAGGCATGTCAAGACCCATCCAAGACCCATTCCAACTGTTGGAAACGACAGTTTAAAAAATATAAAAAAAACTATTGTACCACTTCTCGAAACCCCACAATTCAACCACACAAGAATTAAAAGTTCAAAGGGAAGGAAAAAAAATCCACTGCAAGTTGTCAAGAGGTAAGGGGATAGAAATGTTGAAGAAGAGTTCTGTTTCAGAGATGCATATAGGAACTGCAGCCAAGTCTCCTGATGATTCTTGCCAGACTGATCTGTTTCCCTCAATCCTAAACTTATATTTTCCAAAATCATATCCTCAAATGAGAAAAGTATTGTATTAAATGAGAACTAAACTTAGAACTTCAAGACAAATAAGCAGGTGAAGGGATTGACTTAAATTCCCTGTTAAAATCTGGTTCAGTTATTTCTGTCTACAGATATGTTGAACTTACTTGTAAATAAGTAATAAATTTATCATTTCCACATATTTATACCCATATGTATCCTGGAAGAAAAAAATATTGTTATAAAAATAGTACTGGGCACTAGCGCAGTTAATTAACATAAGCATGTCCTTAATTTAAATGCTTTGCTCTGCATGTAACTCAATTATAGATTCATAGATTTTCAATGGGAAAAACTAACCTTTCACAAAAATATTTTGTTTATTGTTTTGCCTCTATTGCCCAATGCCAACTAAAGATATTGGCTAGTAAAAACAAAGTTCATTTAATCTCTTCTTCTCCCCATATTCCTTCTTTTCCAGAAAAGAGCTCCAGTCTCCTATCAGATATACAGGGTACTAACTGGAGCAAGGAAAAGTTTATTTATACTTCAACTAGAATTTATATCAATGGGCCAAGACATAAAATGCTGATTCAATGTGTGTGGATTAGCACGGAAATGCCATGCCACAGATTATGCCAATTTACGCCAGAACACAAGTTGTGTTATGTCACTGCACATATATATATTTTTATATATATATATTCATATAGATATAACTATAAAATGCTGAATCTAGTTATTAGATCCATTTCTAGTGAGGTTCAAAAAGATTAAAAGCATGATAAAAGGACAATGTGGTAAAGAAGCACCTGGGGTGTTTGAGATTTTGTTTATTTTACAAAGATAACACCCTATTATAGATTGCTCTGTTATTACTCTTTCATAGATTTATATTACTCAGAAGAACAGTTGAACTTGAATGAACTTTAAAATAACTGATATAAAAAAAATTTTATAGGAATAAAATAAAGTTGGAAACTGCTATCCACTTTGCAGCCCCTAACAGCTAGAAGGACCACAAAGGTTTGTTTTAAATATGGAATTACATGGGCATGTCTTAAGATAATTTTTACAGCAGAAAAAGAACTTTTGTTCTTTTTAATTCTGACAGAGAAGCAAAAAAATTATTTGAATTCAAGAATGAACTTGATATATTAAACAAAGCAATGCCATTTGTCTAAGGCAATTGGGAAGACCTTATCCCTTCTAGTCAGTGCTCCTGCTAAAAGGTTTTCTGTGATGTTCCATTCAGATCACAGGTTACTGAGATAAGCTACTCTAGGATAAAGTGCTTCACTATCATCCCATCCAGTCTAAACTGAAGGAGGACTCTTATCAAATCCAGTCAGAAAATAGTCATCAGTTGCCACAATGGCAGAGATTGTAAAAAAGCATTTTTTAAGAGCTAGTAATATGATTCTGTTCAGTCACATGCAACATTTCTTTGTTCAAAAGGTACAAACTGAAAGAAAACTCAACCAGAAAACCAAATTCTTTTTCTATGATAGAAATAAATGATAGAATAGAAAGGAAATTAATCAGTGTCATTGTAAATGAAAAAAAAAAAAAACCAAACACTTTAGAAACAACCACCTTCTTCCATCCAACAGAATGTTTAAACACAGATGCCTGAAGTCATTAGTACAGTAGCAAATCCAAGTGGATCCAAAAACTGGATCCAAATGAATGGATCCAGTCAAGTCCAAATGGGACCATCAGCATGAAAATTCACAACACAGTTGATTTTAGATCAACAGACAGAAGGAGTGGCTTACCTTCTTCAGCTTTCTGAGCACTAAAAGAATAGACAGCTCAAGCAGAATTCACCTATCTCATAGCTAGAGAAAAACAATTGTCTACATATAGATAAAATGAATCATATGTTAAAAATCCATTATTTGCACCAGGGCTTCTAAAGAGCTTAAAAAAATAGTGCAATGTAAAAACTCCATTTGTTACACAGGCACTGGCAAATCTGATCTTGTGTCACCAGTTCCTTCTACTAAAAAAATTGACAGATCTTGTGCCCCCCCTGAACCCTTTTTGCCTTACATCATCTCAGTCCTAACCTTACCTTTTTCTATCTCATTTTTCTTATCAAACCATCTTTCCTTATGTAGAAGTAACTAATTTATAAGAAACTAATAGCACACTTTGTCTGTTTTGATCCTACTGAGCTTGTCATATAAACAAGCTCCTCTGCTTAGCAAAAATCTAAATTACAATGGCAAGAGCTCTCCCTCCAGAACTCAGGACTTGGTGTGAAAAGTTACAATGCAGAAACACTTTTATTTATTTTCTGAAAATACATCTTTTTTGGATAAGACTAAAATAGCAAAAAAATGGATAAAAAATGTTGAGGATATGGACAATATTCAAAACCTGATAAAAAGCAGAGTCCTGAGGTCTATTCCAAGAACAGAAAAGAATATTTCAAAATTCTATTTTACTAAGGTCAACATTGTCATTCATTCATTTCAACTTCAACACAGGTAAAAAATAGATGACAAATATTTAGAAATCTGACTTAGGTACTGGGAACAAGTGTCTTAAAAGAAATCACAAACACCCAGTAATCACAGGGTGGGAGGAGATCACAGCCTTTTTTCCTTGTTATGGATTTAAAAGATGCTTTAGAACTTGACAACAACTGCTGAGTTCTCCAATTTTTTAATTTAGAGCTATAGAAAGAGAGCAGCAGTAATTCCATTCTCAAACACAAAGCAGCAAGACGTCAACTAGAGCTCCATTTACCTGGGTAGAAGAATGAGACAAAATGTGTCTAGGAAGAAATACTATACAAATGTTTCTAAAGGAGCACTAACTGTGCTTTTAAAGCAAATCTAAAGGCTTATTTCTTATAAGCTAAATTTTTTAAAAATTAGTAGTTCATGTTCATTTAGATTTCAAAATTTCAACAATAAAATCCTATCACAGATATGATTTTATGTTTATCAACACAAAATCATAGATTTTAAATGTATCTGTAAAGGAAAAAACTATATCAAAGCACTCACAGTACTTAAAAATTCCATTTCCAAAAATGTATGTATGATTATTAATCTAATTCTCCAACAGATATCAAAATTAAGTGAAGACTCTTCCTTAGAGCCTTTGGAGCTTCACAGATTATTCTATCTATAACAAAAACACAGCAAAAAAAGAAACCTGTTGCAGAGTATTTTTCCATCTTGCTGCTGCTACTTTTGCTGTATTGGCTAAAATTTCTCATTCAGCTCATTGGAAGAAATTAGAGCAACTCT